GGGTGGGAGGGGGGGAGTACGGGGGGAGGGAGGGAGAGGGGAGGGAGGGAGAGGGGAGGGAGGGAGGGAGGGGGGGAGGGAGGGCAGGGAGTGCTCCTGGCCGCTCGGCGATTACGTCGTATTTATGTTCGGTTGAAGTCGATGTTGGTATTACAGTAGTTGTTTATGTCATGTTATGTAGTTATATGTTACTTTGAAATTGATATGTGATAAATTATATTGATGGCATATGATGATGGGGTTGAAGAAACTGATCAACATAATCATGATCCTCAGATCCTCAATAAGTTGAGGAATCAGGGCTCTGGGAACCGGAACCGGAACCAGCACTTTCCTGCATGTCTGCAACGTCCATCCCAGAGCTGCCGGCGGCAAAAATGATGGATTGGGATTACCCAACCGGAACCGGAACCGGAACCGGAACCAGCAATTTCCTGCATGTCTGCAACGTCCAACCCAGAACTGCCGGCGGCAAAAATGATGGATGGATTGGGATGATGAACCGGAACCGGAACCGGAACCGGAACCGGAACCGGAACCAGCACTTTCCTGCATGTCTGCAACGTCCAACCCAGAGCTGCCGGCGGCAAAGATGATGGATTGGGATGATCCCCAACCCGGAACCGGGACCCTGGAACCGGAACCGGAACCAGCACTTTCCTGCATGTCTGCAACGTCCAACCCAAAGCTGCCGGCGGCAAAAATGATGGATTGGGATGATCCCCAACCGGAACCGGAACCGGAACCGGAACCGGAACCAGCACTTTCCTGCATGTCTGCAACGTCCAACCCAGAGCTGCCGGCGGCAAAATGATGGATTGGGATGATCCCCAACCGGAACCGGAACCGGAACCGGAACCGGCACTTTCCTGCATGTCTGCAACGTCCAACCCAGAGCTGCCGGCGGCAAATATGATGGATTGGGATGATCCCCAACCGGAACGAACCAGAACCGGAACCGGAACCAGCACTTTCCTGCATGTCTGCAACGTCCAACCCAGAGCTGCCGGCGGCAAAAATGATGGATTGGGATGATCCCCAACCGGAACCGGAACCGGAACCGGAACCAGCACTTTCCTGCATGTCTGCAACGTCCAACCCAGAGCTGCCGGCGGCAAAAATGATGGATTGGGATGATCCCCAAACCGGAACCGGAACCGGAACCGGAACCAGCACTTTCCTGCATGTCTGCAACGTCCAACCCAGAACTCCAGCACTTTCCTGCATGTCGCAACGTCCAACCCAGAAAAGATGATGGATTGGGATGATCCCCGACCGGAACCGGAACCGGAACTGGAACCGGAACCAGAACCAGCACTTTCCTGCATGTATGCAACGTCCAACCCAGAACTGCCGGCGGCAAATATGATGGATTGGGATGATCCCCAACCGGAACCGGAACCGGAACCGGAACCGGAACCGGAACCAACACTTTCTTGCAGGTCTGCAACGTCCAACCCAGAGCTGCCGGCGGCAAAAATGATGGATTGGGATGATCCCCAACCGGAACCGGAACCGGAACCGGAACCAGCACTTTCCTGCATGTCTGCAACGTCCAACCCAGAGCTGCCGGCGGCAAAAAATGATGGATTGGGATGATCCCCAACCGGAACCGGAACCGGAACCGGAACCGGAACCGGAACCAGCACTTTCCTGCATGTCTGCAACGTCCAACCCAGAGCTGCCGGCGGCAAAGATGATGGATTGGGATGATCCCCAACCGGAACCGGAACCGGAACCAGCACTTTCCTGCAGGTCTGCAACGTCCAACCCAGAGCTGCCGGCGGCAAAGATGATGGATTGGGATGATCCCCGACCGGAACCGGAACCGGGACTGGAACCGGAACTGGAACCGCAACCGGAACCAGCACTTTCCTGCATGTCTGCAATTACGTCCAACCCAGAGCTGCCGGCGGCAAAAATGATGGATTGGGATGATCCCCAACCGGAACCGGAACCGGAACCGGAACCAGCACTTTCCTGCATGTCTGCAACGTCCAACCCAGCGCTGCCGGCGGCAAAAATGATGGATTGGGATGATCCCCAACCGGAACCGGAACCGGAACCGGAACCGGAACCAGCACTTTCCTGCATGGCTGCAACGTCGACCCAGAGCTGCCGGCGGCAAAGATGATGGATTGGGATGATCCCCAACCGGAACCGGAACCGGAACCGGAACCGGAACCGGAACCGGAACGTCCGGGGGTCATAATGGCCCAAATGGCAAAGGACGCAGCATCGAGAGCTGTGGGAGCAGTCTGGCTCCTTGTCTCAGAACAGTGAAGTCTCTGTCCTGGCGGTACCTCATTATGCAACAGTTCAGGCTCTCGCCACGCTGGTTCACAGTACCCAGATCGGGGCCCAGCACTCTGCGTGCCTCGAGTCTGCAGACGAGTGTGCTAAGCAGATGGCCCGCTCATGCCAACGCCCAGCGATGCATAGGGAAGCCAACGTCCAGGAGTGCATGCTCGCCAAGGCTGCTCTGGAGCCTTCGGCGTACGCAGGAGCGTTACAATCAACTCATATAGTAAGGATGCGCGGTAAGGATGCAAGGGCCTTGGACGCCCATGCCGAGACTCTTCGAGCGGGGCTGCCCGTCGAAAGCGGTCGAGCATGGGCCGAAGATGACCGAAGAGGCAAGGATGCATGGGCACTCTAGGGAAGCCGATCATCCCTACTATCAGGGCTGACGGTAGGCCAAGGGATCGTCGACATGTTTGAGGGATCGAGTCCACAAGCTTCGACCTTGCCCACCGCTCCTGGTGACCTTTCTTTCTTTCCCGGGTCACGGTCGTTACCCGTGGGGGGAGGGCCTCGGGCGGGAAGGCAACGGCAACGGCGGCTGCGGCGTGCACCCGCCAGGGTGCGTCCGCGCCGCCGGCCCATCACTCGCCTTGGCTGCATCACAGCATGTTGGGGGGGGGGGGTCCAGGCCACACACCCCCAATAGGATCGTTGGCGTTACCCGGGCGGGGGGGGGAGTGGGTCTGGTCTGGGTTACGAGCGTTACAGTGGAGTCCAGTCCACAAGAAACCCTCCACAAGAAACAGCCCTGAGACCCCAGGAAGTGCCTTGACTTCTGGTGTGGGGTCACGCTTTCCACAGCAGAACCGTCGGAACCCCAGAAACCCAGGGCACCCTGGAGGCAAACAGGGTGTCTCTTGGCATGGGCCTCCACTGTGTGCCCAGGAAGAAAAACAAAACGCTCACCTAAAACCCCCGCCAGCGCGGGGGAAACGAGCGGGGCCGAGCCGCCCCGCCCCCCGCCGCCGAGGGCCCTCCCCCCAACCACGCGCTGCCATCGACCCACCGCGGCCGCCGCGACCGCGGGGACACCGGCCAGCGGTGGGACCGACTGCTGTGTTCTCTAGGGTGTGCGCTTAGATCAGGCATGTCCTCCTACAGGCGAATGTTGGAAAAAATAGGAAGCACGCAACAACTGCTCGCAAATAGTCAAAGCTAGTCGATCAATCGTCCCCAGACTATTTTTTCATACTATTTTTGAGTATTCCTCCTGCAGAGGGAGATGCCCGACGTAAAGGTACGCTAGGTACAGTGGGACCAACAGTCACACCGTACAGTAAGGATGCGCGATAAGGATGCAGGGACCTTGGACGCCCACTGCGAGGCTCTGCGGGCGGGGCGCGGCCAACGAGTGGCCAAAAGAATGGGCCGAGGAGGGAAGGATGCAAGGGGGACTACACTTGGGAAAGATTGCCCATGCTGGCTATGCAGGTGGACTGTATGCCATAATGAAACTCTCCGTGGGCCGAAATAATAATATCCAAGGGTGCCCTCCCCACGATGCACAAGAACATCCAACGAACACGACGAACACTAGGTTACCGTCCCCGAACCGACCTCGATCTTGTACCTCGGTCCGACTGTACGGTAGGTTTGTGCGGCGTCGGTGCGCGCAAAAGTTTTTAACACCGCGTCGATCGCTCAACCCTGAGTCGAGCGCGGCCCCGACCAATTCAGTCGGGTCCAGCGGCGTCACCGTGTCCCTCGGTGCCTCCGCGTCGCAGAGTTCAATCCGGCGTCGCCGGCGCGCCATAGCCGCGTGGACCCGCCGTACGCATGCTGCCACCTGGGCCCAGCCGTTCGCCCCGTGCCCATCCCACAAAGACCACAGAGCCTTTGGGGGTACAGGCCTCGGACGACGTGGCAGGGCAAGCACCCCCGCTACAGACATCCCCCCGCCACCCAGTATGCACGCCCAGGATTGATTGCCCGAGGATGTGACGCTCGGATGCTGTCTTCGGCCCCAGGGGCCAAGCTCGCGTCTCGCCGCCAGGATCGGCGCAGGAGGGACCTTCTGGCCGTGTGGAGGCTTCGCCCTTGGCCAAGGCCATCGGCCTGCTAGATCATAGCTAGATGTTTGTTGTACGTTGCTTGACATCCGATCTGTATGATCGCTGCGTCTGTCCGCTATGCCCGACCAGAAGTAACAGACAATCTCGACAGATGATCACGAGAAGCGGCCCTTTGCTAAGTGCGTGCCCCAAAGGGGGAAGATAAAGCGAAGAGGTGCGGAGAAGTAGAGAAGCCCTCGTGGGCGAGCTGGATGCCCCACCTCCCCTCCTCCTCCTCCTCCTCCTCCTCCTCCTCCTCCTCCTCCTCCTCCTGCTCCTCTCCATCCCTCCCCCATCTTGTCCCCCTCCTTCCCTCATCTCCCTTCTTCTCCCCCTCCTTTCCCCGTCCCATCGCACGCAAGCAGCCCCTTCGGAATGCAAGAGTCCCAAGGTCTATCGGACAAACCCTCTCCCCCTCCTCCGTCTCCTCCCTCCCTACTCCCCTCCTTCTCCCCTTTCTTCTCGTCCACCTCCACATCTCGCTCCTCCTCCTCCTCCCCCTCCTCCTCAACCTGCTTCATCCACTTCTCCCCTCCCCCCCTACTCACCCTCTTCCCCGCTCCTCGTCATCCCCCCTCCTCCTCCACCGGCGCCGACCACGAGGACGACGACGTAGACGACGAGGACGACGGCGGCGGAGGCTACCTGGACCAGGAACGCGGTGTGCGCCGCGTCGGTGAGCTGCCAGGCGTCGCGCCACTGCGCACGGGCCTCCGGCAACGTCTCCTTGACGCGCGCGCGCACCCTGGGGCCCCGATTGGGACGACCTGCGTCGGGTGGCGTGTGGCCGCTTTGGAGCCTGAGGGGGCGAGACGCTCATCCTGCTGCGGAGGTGGAAGGGGGAGAATGAAGAGGAGGAGGATCGGGAGGAGGAGGAGGAAGCGGAGGAGAAGGAGGATGATGAGGAGGAGGAGGCGGAGGAGGAGGAGGAGGAAACAGGAGGAGGGGGAGCAGGAGCAGCAGGAGGAGTTGGATGCGGAGGAATAGGAGGCGACGACGGAAATGGGTGAGGAGGACGCGGGAGAAGGATGAGGATAAGGATGAGGAGGAAGAGGATGAGGAGGAGGAGGAGGGGAATGATGATGATGATGATGATGATGATGCCGCTGCTGATGGTGATGCTGATTCTGATTCTGATGATGAAGACGATAACTCGGATAACTCTTCAAGAGGGGATGCGTCCGTGACGCACCCTCTCGGTGTACAAAACGATTACACACAATCGTTAAAACCCTCTCGATCCTCCCCACCCACCTCCCCGCCGCCGTCGGAAGTCCTTGACGTTCGAGCCGACGACGGGCAGTGGCGCTCTGCCGCCACCTGCGCCTTGGAGGATGGGCCAGTCCTTGCCAGCCTTGGGGGGGAGACCTCGACTCAGACGGTTCAAATAGTTGAGTCCCGATTCGGTACGCTTTTCGGGACAGAGGTTGACCAGCTCACGCAGATGGCCCCCGCCCTGGACCACTGTCCCGAATCTAGCGCACTTCCAGCACCACACTAGACCATTCTGCATCGCGATAGAATGGGAGCTGTGGACGATTCGATCGCCCACCCTGAGAACATGCACACTCGTGGGGGGGGACTCTGATATGGTGCCCCTGCTCACTGAGAGAACGCTTGGCAACATCTCCTGGGCACTGGTTCGCCTGGAGCCACTCTTCCAAGAAAAAACGGCCCGGGGTCTGACGGCAAAGCTTGCAAGACCACAGTCCGTTCGTGAGACGCTGCATCTGATGGCCAGCTCTGGCCTCAAGCTCTCCCACCCTCGACAGCCCCGACTCCGAACCGAGCGACCCACCGAACTCCCCGCGGCCCCCCCGATCAAGTTCAGAGCAGACGTGGGCCAACATCGCCCCCATCCTCTGATGCACCAGGGTGGCTCTGGCATCTGCTATGTTGAGAGCTTTGATGGCACTACGGATGGGGGCGGCGGCGGCCTCAGCACCTCGTTGGGCCAGCTGATCGGCCATCTCGTTTCCCCGAGATACTTTCAGGGCCTGCCCTACTTGCAAATGGGAATCTGCATCCATGTGCGAAAAACACTTCCTAAGCACTACCTGCCCTTCGCCCCTGCTCTGCAGGGCCGTTCTCACCCGAGACCACCGACGAATCAGCGGGCCTTGCGGAGCAGAGGCGAAGCCTTTACACCAGCCTTCAACGACAAGAGCACAGTCGGACCACAGCTCTATGGGCCCCTTGGTGACCTTAAGGGCCCAAACCAACGCGGCAAGCTCACTAGCGGGCACTGTTTGAGGTCCATCAATGGTCCCAAAAAGCCCGCGGAGGACCCCTTGTTCCACGTCCAACTCCGCCTCGCCCTCCACACGGAAGTAAACCCCCCATCCCACACGGCGCACTCGAGCATCGCTGGACGTGGCGGAGCCGTCAAGGAAGCCTACCTGCGCCTGGGGGGGGAAGGTAGAAGACGGGAGGACAACAAAGGAGGAGTCGAGGTCAGGAGGGGGGAACCCTACAGCCCAAACCCCTTGGCCTACTCCAGAGTTCCACTCGGGGGGGGGGGGCGGTGGCGCTGGGTTCCAATACGGGGGAACGATCCCTCGAGTCCAGAAACCTACATTCCTGCCCTCACTCAGATCTTTCGAGGCTTGCTCACACAACGACTCAGTTCGGGAGACCCACTCATGGTCAATGTTGGCATTCGCATGGCACTCGTACAACCTGTGAGCAATCGTGTCTTCTCCAAGCTCGCACTTCGGGTAACCATCATCACATTTGTAGCCTGGGGATTTGGCACGAGCCTTTGTCCAGATGCACGCCAGAGCATTCGCCTCCAGCGCACCTGCCTCTCGATGTCGGTCCTGGCGCCGAAGCCGACGCAGGTTGGCGCGCATCATGTGCATGTCGCCTCCTTCATGCAGCCCCTGCCCTGCTGGATGATCGCCAGCCTGCTGCCAGAGGTCGCGCCCGAAGGCGGCGCACAGAGCCTCGCACAACTCGTCGTAGCTGCCCGCGGCATCGCCCATGCGCTTCCACACGTTCCCGTGATCATCTATCCAGTGATCTGGAGCTCGCGGGGTCCATCCCAGCTCGCGCAGCATAAGGATGAGAGCCCCCATCGGGCCCGTCACTCTCCGCCATCTGGAGTGGGGGCGCATGTATATCAACCTCCTCAGCACCTCTCGCCACCCCCGTCGAACTCGTTCTCGTAGCTCTGGATGAGCCTCCCAGAACTGGAACCACTGCTTGACCTGATCCATGACCGCGCTCATCTTGGGGTCGCCGTCCTGGTAGTGTAGCAGCAGGACGGAGGCCGTGCATCTGCCACCGACTGTGTGCCCTGCCAAGTCTGCCGCTTGGGCACGCCTGCGCGTCATCTCAGACGGCGCCACGCCCAGGACTGGATCTGCATATCGGAGCTTCGCCTTGCTATTGGTGTTATGCAGCATGACTCCTTCGGACCTGTTGTCGCCTCGACCTGCTCGCCTGAATAGGGCGGTACGCGTGGCACGCGCCTGCGCCGTGGTCATCCTGCTCTTGGTGGTCTTGATCGCCCGCTTGAGTCCCATGGAGCAGTCCACCCCAAGGTCCTTGGCCCAGCAGGCGCGCTTGATCTTGATACCAGTGGCCCGCAGGACGTGCCGCTGGACTTTCACCTCATCCTTAGCTTTCGTCATCATCAGCAGCGACTTGGGAGCGACTCGCAGACCCAAGTCCAGCATGCCCTGCACCAGCTCACATGTGACCGTCTTAGTCTGGTCCAGCACCAACTTCCTTGGCCCCTCCACACGCGTATGCACATCGTCGACATACTGTCTGATGCGGGTCAAGGGGGCCCTCTCACGAGCCCTCTCCAGCAATCGGTACAGGAAGACCCTTGCGCAATGATTGGCCTTCCCGCACCCTGGTACAATCGAGCAGTTCGGCACAATGGACTCTGCATAGGCCCCCTGGGCCTTGACCGTACGGGGCGACAAATACGTTAGGCAGCAAAGATACAACTCCACCGAAGGAAATTGAAGCTCGATCGCCTGGAGAACCATAAGAGCCAAGTCCATATGATCACAACACTTTTCAACATCGGCCAGCAAATTGCTCTGCTCGTTGAGGCCGATGTGTGCACGTGTCTCGTCCAAGACCATGGTGAGCAGGGCAGCTTGGAGCGCGCTGCTGCCCTTCACCGCCGCGTCCCAGTGCGCGGCCCTCTTGTCGCACCACTCCTTCAGGGGGGACTTGGTGAGGCGCCCCCAGATCCTGACGGGCATCGGCAGAAGGCCGATGTCCCTCTCGTTGCCCAGCTCCTGCTTCTCGCCCTTGGGCAGCAGCGCGAACCAGTTGGGCATCAGCTGGTGGGGCCAGGCCAGCCCTCGCTCGATCATGTTGAAGAGCGTGACGAGAGACTCCTGCCCCTGGTCCGAGAGGGCGAGGATGTGTGCAGGCTTCCACTGATCTGGACCCGTGCCCGTGCTCTTCGGGGAAGACTTGAGTGCCACCACCAGCTGCTCTCGAGTGTGATAGGGGCGATCGGCCAAGTCCTCGCGGGCACGGGTCCGCAGCGCACCGAGGGCAGCGCGGACTGCTGGTAGGCGGTGTGGCTGAGAGGTCCACCGCACTGCCCAGCAAGCCGCTCTGACATCAGTGGTGCCCTGGGCCGTATCGCATACCTCGCCAGTGACGGGGCCGATGCAGGTCTCATCCAGGGCGCGCTGCTCGTTCTTCTTCAGGTAGCGGTGAGCGCCCTTCATGGAGCCCTGCACGCTCTTGACCGCCCAGCTGCCGATCTCGCTGCGAGTCTCCAGCCAAGCCAGATTGGCGTGGCGAATCGAGCGGGCCGGCACCTTCAGCGCGAAGTTCTGCCACAAAGCGTAGTCGGTGCAGGCTCGAATGCGCTCTCCCTGGCAAATAACCTGCACATCATCTCTGAACACTCGCCACTTCCCCGTCATATCATCAGCATGGCCATCTGGAACAGGACCGCAGCTGTCATGATAGTTGCGGAGCTCGGACAGCAGGCCAGTCACGATGTCCTGAACTCGCTGACGATAGCTCGAGTGACGAAATCGACCAAGCGCCACTAACTGCTCCTGCACCCTGGCGTGTAGGCTCGCCCACCTGCTGCTGAGGGCGTTGGCGCTGGAATGGCCGAAGGTCGAGTCCTTCTTCTGGACCACTGCACGTCTCAACTGATACTTCACTGGCATACCACGGCGGGCTCCTTGACGCAGCTCGACACTACATAGGTCTGCCAGCTGTGCCTCCGCCGCCAGCGACCAAATGCCGTGCTGCTTTGCAAGGACCTCCGACATGTGCGGGGCAGCTCTGTGCGCCTCACTCCTCTGCACGTCTGGCTCAGCCTGGGGGAATGAAAAACCGAGACTCTCGCTGGCCTCATTCACGTACTGGATCCACTCCTGGTTCTCGCACCTCTGGGCCCGCTTGATGACGTAGTGGTCGTCCAGCAGGTTGTCGTCGTCGTCGTTGAGCAGGTCACCCTTCTGCAACGCGTCCTGCTCATCGCGCAGCTCGTGGATCTTCGCGTGCTTCTCCCTGTCCCGCTGGAATCTCTTGAGCCCCTTGAGCACTCTGCACTCACCCTCGGGAATCTCCAAGGGTACAGGAAGGACAGGTACACGGAGGAAAACCGATGCGGGGCGAGACTTGATGAGGATGTTGGGGCCGTAATGAGGACCCCACGGCAGGTTCTGCACTGGCAACACCTGGGACAAGAAGGGTCGAAAGCTGTCGGGCACCACAGCGTAGTCAATCAT